TGAACCGGTAGCTGTCATTCAAGCTAACATTCAGTACAATATATCCATTTGCAAAGAATCAACAGGCAGACTCCCAGCAGAACCAGCCTATAGGTAGAAACTGCTGTACCATCATTACAGGTGACAAAGCACTCAAAATACCTGGGAGAAGATGGATTTCGGCATTATATAATAAAATGACCTGAATACTTCTTTACTACTGTTGCTTAGCTATTCGCTACCCATTTTCTCTCTAAGAGTGGTTTCCCTCTTGCAGTAAAAACTGCTGAATGTGTTTAACATAGCAAATGCTTTGTGAGTCTCAGTGCATTCATGCATTCCTATGGGGCCTGACTGACACTTGGCAGTAATGAGAAACACCAGCTATTATAGAGTAATATAGAGTAATATTATAGAGTAACATCTATACACAGTAATGTTACACATTCCTATTTTTTTCCTTAATAACCACCCTAATTTTTTGAACAGTTTTGAACAGTTTCTCAGTCAAAAACTATATAAATGCATGTCATTCCTAGGTGATCAGAATGTAACTGCATGATTTATTTTCTTCTTCCCCCAAATGCTCAGTCTCCTTCTCCATATTCCAAATGACTTTAGGCTACCAACCCCCACTACCCCCAAACCCCAAATGTTTGGACAGTCAGCTGGTTAAAAAGCATAAATTAAACAGTGCAAGAGAATGAAATGAACTGCAATCAGACTGCTGTATTTTTATTGTTACTCCAAGTATGCTTCTGTTGTACTGATTCTCCTCTAAAGTGTATTCAGCAACTACCGAATAACTAATTTCTTTTTTCCATGGATAAAGATACCTTTAAATTTCTCAAATCATACCGCAGCTGTGCAGAACAAGCATTATTTATACAACAGCTATGTTGATCAAATAAAAACAAAAGCCCACAGATTCCCGTACACATATTAATACATTTTACTTCTGAATAACAAATGCATGAATTTTCAGCACAATCCTAGTGGAGGCAACATTAATAATTTTAACATTAACATAAGTTTAAAACTGACTTGTAAGAAAAGACAATTTAAAAATACTATCTGTAAATACCTACAGGTTAGATATTTAAAAGAAGTTAGCTCCATTAACTGAAATAGTCACATTCTTAAAATGTTCAAAAGCCAGCATCTTCCATTGTCACTTCAGACATTGAGATTCATTTTTTAAGATACAAATTAATGTGCTGCTTTGAAAATCCTGGATACCTAAATATTTGAATTCTTTCTGTAGCTGAGTGTAATTCTTACCTACTGCAGTAAGTCCTTCAGATATTGAGGTAAGAATATAGATTAGGACGCGAGGTTCTAAACTGGTAATGAAACTCATATGATCTTGGGTCAAACACTCCAAAAGTGGGTAATAAGACTGGCTTAGTTTTCGATATTGCTGAAAAAAAGAGAGTACACATTCATAGTAAATACAGATATTACCATCCACTAATATTAACAACAGCAACAGATGACAGGAGAATGATCTTACAGTTTTTATGATGCGATAAATTCTATTTTAGCCATTAAATCAAAATACTTATAGAGACAAAATATTTTCTTGTCTTTGGTAGATTTCAACTTTTCAAATTTACCATAGGATATAAACTCACTATTAATTTAAAATAAGCTCAGGATAATACCGTAACGCTATCATGCTTTGACATTCTACACAGCTAGCAGTCTCATAAAAGCACTATAGCGTTCTGTCTAGGGTGTCAGTTTGACACGATTATGGCCTGTATCTTACCTTCTGCAGGAAATCTTACTAAGATTTATCACAGATTTCCCCAAATCATCTCAAAGATGAATTTTTTTGTGCTCAAGTGACATCCTGTAACAGGCTCTGTGCAGGCAAAAGGACTTGCTTGAACCCATTGGCCCAATCAGCATCTTACTCTTAAGGACTTTTATTTAGGGCATTTATTGTTGGATGGCTAGGAACGTGCCAAATATGCACACTTTACTATATAACCAAAGCACTGATTTTAATTGAGAGCAACTTTTCAGTTCCAAGGACTTTCTTTATGTGGCAAACATAAATCTGGGTATTAACCATCTTTAACTATCCCAAGTTTGTGCCTTTCTGCAAGAAAATGACAGTTCTGAACTAAAGTGTCATGAAGAAAATGTCACAGTTCAAATTTTGTGCAAGATCCGATGTCTTCCCATAAGGAAGTGGGAACATGGTGTACTTTTAAAGTTTTAAATTTTATAGGGAATACACAGTGACAATTTACAGACTGAAACTAATTGCAAAGTGGCTGAATATGTGAGGATGTTTTACAGGGCATGCAGGCAACCTGAATGCATTTGCAAGTACAGAAAGAAACAAAACTTTACATTTCTTTCACGACAAGCCTAGTGAAAATTCTGGAAAAGCTCCTGTTTCACATGGCAGGTCCGTCATACCTGTATTTTAGATGTTACTATGTAAATAAATTCAAGTAATTGAACTGAAAACTGCATTTGAGCTGTTCTAGATCCCTCTGTCTCATTATAACAATACAAAGCCTGTGGTGGTGTTATTTCATATTTCACGTAAAGACTCCCAAGATGAGTAATTGCTTACTAGCAAGTCACTGTGGGATACTGAAAGCAGCATTTTGACAAAGGCCTGAAGTACATTGTCAAAGTGGTTGTCCCCGTACAACTTGAAGACGCCAAAGCTGACATAATTTCCACATAAGGCAGATTTGAGTGCAGAGTAACAGATGGAAATGCCCTTGAGTTTCAACGGATAAACCTGATCTTTTGACAAAGTCCCAAGAGAGAGGATCTGATTACCTGTTTTCATAAAAAGAAAGAAAGAAACAAACTTATATAAGCAGCTGCAAATCTAAAAAAATTTGATGGCACTATCTAAATTTATTTTTTGTCTTTATTTTCATTACTATTTGGAAGAAAAATTGTTTCTGCATTTGATGTAAAAGATCTGCTAAGTAATCATGACTACTGCTTAAAAGCCACCAAGGAATTAGTATACAAAATTTAAAATATAAGCTATGGCATTCCCGTCATTGACGTACAGCCAGACCACGACTGGGTCTATTAGCATGAATTCCTCAATCTGAAAGGAGTTGCAACACATGGTTTTATAGTGTCTCATGCTGCAGCAAAGCCTGGTTTTGATCCATTACCATGACACTCTCTTGGGATGGTTGCTGATGTATACACACACTAAATATATCCCTCAGAAAACAAATGTGTCCATTACAAAAGCCTCTATTTTACCAGTCACAGATGGGAATGACTTTTTAATTAAAATCCATGTTTATAATGTAAAAATAACAGCTAACTGTAAATATTTGCTGTTGCTATTAACAGGCAATAGTGACTTTTGGATCCACTGTGCAGCAGTGCAGTAGATCCTGCTGCAATCCTCTGTACAAATCTAATTATTCACAAGGCCTCATTACCAAGTTTTATAAGTATCTTGTAATAATTTAATGCTCATCTTCACAGCACCCCAGAGTTAGTTTGTCTTCATGACAAATTTTTTTTTAACCTGAAGTAATTAATGAAAGTGAGCTAAAATAGTAGAATGAACACAGCAAAGATTAAATACTTCGGTTCTACCATGAAGCAGCCTTACTAGGTTGACCCCATCTGGTGTTGACCTTGGGAAGCTTGGCCTGCACAAAACCCAAGTGCCAGGTCTTCACTCTCTTACTATTCATCATTCTTGGTAATTTTAACTAGAGGAAAATAACACAAAACTGTACACTTTTAAAAGTATTCCTACAAATAAAAGCACAACAGTCTACAGATCAGATGCTTGGCTCGTTTGCTTTCAGTGTCTAACCTAGTTGTCGTGGCTATGATGACAACTTGGATCAAGGAGCAATGAGCGAACCGGGTATTAACTATTCACAATTCCAAACATTGCCAGTTGAGAGAAATAGTTATGACAACTCAGTTTTGCTTTTATAATAGCCAATTAAGAAATGCCCCTAAAAACATGCCTGAGATGACACAGATCTCATAGATTGCACAGTATTGTATACTACATATTGAGGCCTAATATTAAACTGGGTCTGTTTCTACACAGCTCTCCTCTCTACTCAGGCAAATTTCTACCTGCAAATCATATACCTGCCTTATTTTAATTCCTTCTCTTAATGCCATTGATTACTGACAATGAGGAATTTACATAATATAATCAGAAAAATGAGGGGGAAAATCTTGTTTGTATACACCCAACGCTTCAAAGTATCACCCATTTGGTATCATTTGATGCAAAGAGGGAAAGGCATAAGTTACTGTTTAAAATATTGCTGTTGTTCACCATGCCTAGCAAGTACAAGGCAATTTATCCATCAGGTTGTAAAGGAAAAGTAGATTTACAAAAAAAGACTGGGAATATGATCAGGGATTACTTAGAAGTAGTAACTGGGGTCTGTTAGAGGCTGGAATAGCCTCACTAGAATTATGAAAGGGAGGAGAAGAATCAAATATTTAGCTAGGAAAGATGGTCACTTACAATCAAAGTCAAGCCCTCTTAATTTAAACAAAAATTCTTATGAATGAAAATACAGAATTGTTTTCATACTGTAAATGGTCATATGAGCACCTCTGCTACCCTGAATGCTGTAGTCATGCATACAGTGTAACTGGGGAAGAGAGTACAATTCCACTGACTGCTACTGCACAAAAATTAATTCCAAATGGTATTAAACCTGTTATACTAAAAATGACTGGTATCCAAAAGATCCTCTTTGAAAAGTAAAACATAACAGAAAAAGAAGTATGACTTCTAGTGTACTTGGATATTAATTTATTGTAATAGTTTACTGAGAAATTACATTTACATAAAATTAAAGAATACTAAGAATACTCCATTTAGCTTCCTACAGTGCCCCATTTAAGATATCCCAGCCAGGTCATCTTAATTAGCATTAATCTTTTTGACAAGACCTAGTCTAGTTACTGAGAAGATCATTAAATTTCAAAATCTATGAAAAAAAAATTAAATACAAAATTCTGTCTGTGAGATAAAGTGGGAAGTTGCACACTATTTTTGAAAGCCACTATGTAAACACTGTACAATTCTTAGGGCAAAACCAAGACAAAGGTAAGTGTGCTGTTAAGCTAACCTTATCTGGTCTTCTCTACCATTAAATTTTCTGTAGAAAATCTCTACTTTAACAACACAAATATCTATCTGGCTTCAAAAATAAGCAAAATTCTGGATCCAAGAAAGTAACAGCCTTGAATTTATAACTGAGCTCTCCAAGCACAACATCGTGCAATCCTAGCTCCTTCAAGTACTTGGTGTAATATGCAACAACAGATGGAAAGAGCTTAGTAGTTGTCAACAAGGCAATTATGTACTTAATATGGAAATTAATTGGAAGTCAATGGAAAAACTGGATGATGAGGAAAGTAGTTGGAAAAACCCTAGAAATCCCTTAGCCTGGGAACATGAATTCTAGGAGGTATCCACCAGTGCTGATCATCCATCATTTTTATTAGTTCACCAAAAAAAAAAAAAAATCACCCTATAATTAAAACTTTAAATCCATTCATCAGCATAAAGCATTCAATATAGGAAAGCACAACCGCCACTCCCTCACACTGCCTCACCCGGGGCAGGCAAGGCAGAAGAGGAATTTGGTGCCTATCTCTTCTAATGAAAACACTGAGAAGAATTTGGGTCTAGTGCAAGATTAAAAGCTGCTTTTTGCAAGTGGACAGAGTCCACAGAGAACTGTTCTGTGTTCACGGACTCATTTTAAAAGGGCCTAAGAGTGGGAACAGCTGATTTCAAATTAGCAGCAGAGGTGAAAGACCACGCGGTGCCTGTTATCAATGGTCCAAGCCATCAGCCTACGATTCAAGGGATGCAGTGCTAGAACAAAGACTAGTGTTTTAGCATTAGTTATTGAAAAAAATATGAAGTACAGTGCTATGCCTGACTAGATAAAAAAAAGAATGATCTACTTGTAACATTTAGCAGGAGCTTCAGGGGAATATTTTTACACACCATGGATACTACTGAACATAAACTAATTTACTGAGGTACTTGGAATCAGGTCAAGAACAACTCCTCAGCTACTGAGGATATGCTTCCATTTATAATCCCTGTGGTGGAGGACCAAAATACAATTTTATAAACTCCTACTGTTAAAAGAAACAATTTAAAGCAATTAAATCAACATAAAAGTGACCATTGACATGCTGAATTTAAAAACTGTGTTTGAAATTCATAACTCCTGTCAAAATGAAAACTCTGTAGAGACTAATCAGTGAAGCTTCAGTGTTACTACTGAGTTAAAAATCAAATAAAAAAAAAAAATCCAACTTGCACCAATTTCTTCTTAATGTGGGAAAAATTGTATCACACAATCTTAAAATATACCGACTTTCAAAATTCTCAATAATTTCCTTTAATACAACTTTTTGCCCTGCATTTGACAGCAATGTTAATTACAAAAATTATAAACTCTCTGAGCCTCAGAGGTGATACAAAATTCTGACAGGAATAAGGAAAGGGATTTTTAAAGATAAATTAAATATAACTTTAAAGGAAATAAGGGCTTGAATCTGGCTGACAATTTAAGCATTTCATTACCAAAAGACTACTTTGTACATAAGCAAAGGGGCTGGAAGAAAAAAGTGTGTGTATGCAGAGGGGGAACACAAAGCCAGCAAAAAACCAAACTGGGATGCTCTGACCAAAGATAACATCACCATGCCTCAGAATCCCACAGGCAATATGCACCAGAACTCTTTGCACAGCTCATTCCCTCACTCCCTCCTAGATGCGGGAGCATGTCAGGACAGGCAGCTTCCCTTTCAGTTCTCCTCCTTAATTGCTTTTACAGTAGAAGCTATAATACAAAAATGATTACTTTATGGCTGAGTTTCATTTAAGCAGGGTTTGTTCTAGATTTCAGTCCAATAAGCACTATGTATAATAATACAACTAAATCATGTTTTAACATGTCTGAATTAGATGAAGATAAAAAAAGACTTTGGTGAGATTAAACAAAGGTTGTGAAAATTCATCACATTTATAGAGAAAAAGTGTTTTTTGCCTTTTCCCCTTTCCTATTTTTATTATTCACCACTGCCCCATAAAGATGGTTTTGAATGTATGCTTTCCAGGCATTCAGAATGCTAGGGCAGTATAAAGAAGTGGCCATATATAGAAAATGAAAGGAAAACATGAATCATAAAGATGAGAGTGAGCTTCAAAACCTAATTTTTTAAAGCTTCCACAACAACAAAACATGCATAAAGCCTCTCAAATCAGCACAACGAGCATGCATAGCACCAAGATAAATTTGCCAAAAGAAACTATTATGATATCTGAGTCAGTAATGAAGAGCAATATATTCTGGAACCACTATCACAAAAGAGAGGAGAGCAGACCAACAGCAACAGAGTCCAGTGAGCACTCCATTTTTAAGCTAAGATGCTGATTAAATATACCTGTACTACAGCAAGAATCACTTTAGCCAAAATTTTGAAGAAGAACTGTTATCTTATGAAGTTGCTGGCACTGAATGGATTACCACACTAAGTTTTGAAATACATGTTCTAGAAGCAATTTAAAGCTCATTAGAAATAATTGTGTCTGGCTACTGGAAAATGTGGTAAAATTTAATCCACATCCAAATGCTACCTGGGCTGTGAGAACAGGAAATTGTTTTGTGCTACTGTGGCTAACCTCATCACTGACCTTGAGCAGTAACTGCTACAACAGCTAAAAGCTGAAGCAAAATTAAAAACTTACATCAAAGTATATCATGACAGAATGTAGATAAATAAAAACAGCATATTGAAAATATTATTTTTATGTCAGTCTCCTATAATGAAAGGCAAGAGGTTTACTAAAATGTAAAGAAACCACAAAACAAAAATAGATGGTCCCAAGATGCATTGAAACATTATTCCTATACAACTGGGAGATCAAAAATACACAGTAAGGAAACCTGTACATACAGAATTAAAAGTGAAATATATTGGGGATGAAGAATGGCAGACTATACTATTCCAACTCCTTTCAATTTTCTCCTCTCAGTTGTTTATTTTAAATCACTCTATCATTCAGTCAGACTGGCTCTAGCCATAATGGACAAGACACAACACCCCTTGCCAAGCAGCTGCAGAGTCCTATCAAGGATAATTGACTATCTAAGTGCTTTTTGCATCCTACGCCAGGCTTTACATCTTTTGAACACATAGCATTTGTAAAGACATCTTAGAATTGTCTTCAGCACTGTATCGGTATCAGTGATAAATGAGCAGAAGGACAGGACACAGCAGTACTACCCTAATTGCAAAGTTGGATCTATTAAGCAGAATTAAGCACTCGCTGAGGTGCTAATTAAAAAAAAAAAATCATATTTTAAATTTTATTCAGTGACAACTGAAGATGCTTAGCATATCTTAAAAATAGGCATTTTGGATTTTCTTCTGCTTTTCACTCAAACATATGAAATCACTACATGCCAGTCTAGAGGAGAAGAGAGTATATGCTTTAGTCTAGAATTAAAGAGACTTCAGCATCCACACTCACAAGCGTTCACATACATTCACACCCCAGAAACACAGTTCTATGCTTTTCTTCCCCTTTTTATTTTTAGCCCAAGCACAGATCTTACAGAACATATATACAGTAAATGCAGGTACCATTCAGACATAAATGGACATCACTAACTCTGGCAAAATTTAAGATGGAAAGAAAACGACATACTAGGTTACCAAATGTTTCAAAGTTATTCCCATGTAAGCAACAGTACAGGGCTTACACAAAACAAAGCCATATAAATTCTACATGATTTTCATCACCTGAAGAAGGCTGTATTTGCAACCTATCTGTGTGTTACCCAAAACTGCTTTGATCAGTATAGTCCAGACTTAGGAAACATCAACATTTTGTCAATAATCACCAGTGCACTGTGTTCTGATGTTGGTGAGAAGTATCACCTGATATCACCTCGCTTCAGTTACTAATTCCTTGTCTAAGTGTTGACAGGACGGAGACATTTCAGATCACATTTTTATGTACCTATAGGTTCACATAGCAAGAAGACTCCCAGTGGACCTAAGCCATAACTGGAAATTTTTGTGTTTAATTTGGTGCAGGTGAAATTTCTGAAAATAATACTTTTACTAGCATTTTCTGTATATCATTACATGTGAGAGAGAAGGAAAAATCCTGTTCTAAAACAATTTTAAATTTCACTTACCAATGGAAGTATAATACAATCAAGCCATATTTGCATTTATTGTTTGTATGTTACATTCTTATAAGAAAGTGGAGTGACCAGGCTAGGCTACACTGTCTGCAGGAGTGGGACCAAGTCTTTCCCTGGAGCGCTGCTGAGCTATGAGAAGGAAACTCTCACCATCCAGGCCATGGCAAGGAGAGGTGAGAGGTAACAAGCAGAGTTGGAAGCCTAGTGTTCAGATAGGGATTGCCAAGAGGAGCAATCACAGCCAGGTCTCCAGCTGATGGAAAGAAGAACTTCTCAAGGATGAGAGGAGGTTGGGCAGAGTTTATGGCAACCCACTTGGTCAATGGATTAACTGAAACAGAGACTGAAAGAAAGTATCTTCCCACAAGGACAATGTGATGAAAGAAAGAGATGTTTGCTTCTATTTTTTCCCCTCTGTCTCATGTCATCACTTTGTGTTTCTTAGTTTAAAAGGGCAATTATTATAGTATAGATTTCAATCAAATCTATCTTGAGTTTCAAATGTCTTTTTGATCAACTTTGAGGAGCTCACTATGAGCTGCAGGCGTATGCAAGAGGTTTGGGTGACCTGGTAAGATCAATGAGTGTATACTGTCTGTTGTCATCTCTTGACATTTACTGTGTGTCTTCTATTTTTTTCTTTAATGCTTCAGCCATAAAATAATACTGAATGTGAGAGTCTCAACTATTTTCAGAATTTTAAGTTACTTACAGTAATGGTAGAGCAGAAGACTTGAAAACTGAACCCAAGGATTACAAGGCATGTACGTATTCATTCTTTTAACTAAATCACACAATTTTTCAGAATGTAGGGCTGGAAACATTGCTCAGGAACACCAAAGTTAATTTTATGATCATCACTTGGTTTACTTGTTTATTCTTCCCCACGTCTGCCAAGATTACATATGCTTAAAAGACAAATACACTTAAAAAAAAGTCATAGAGTAGTATGGATTCAAGTTTTCCTTACAAGCAGAATTTAGGTATTAATATTTTCAGGAAGGCACTTGAAATTAATGCAAAATCCCTTAATATCAATATTTTTATAGGAATTCGTATGTTCAAAAGATCATATATAACTAAAGTAATGAATCCTTACAACACATTTCCAGAAGAGTTATATCTTTCTGTACACTGGAATGAAAATCTCATAAACTAGTAATTGGTGATAAAAGCTAAAAGTGTTAACAGCAATTATTCAAAGCTGATTAATTGTAGTATCTTGAATACTTATAGCAGGCAGTAAAACCTTCCCAGACTGTAAGCCAGTGACCACTTCAGAAATAGCTCTAGCTGTTTGAAATAGTACTAATCTAGGATGTTTATTACAGTGCCCACAGCTGAGCCACGGTGATGGTCAGGCCAGTGCTGCCCATCTGTGCCAGTGCAGAGCCAGCTGGATTATTTGAAATCTCTGCTCTAAGTGGCCAATTCATCTGACAGCACTGGGAGGTCTTCCATGTTGACTTTGCAGTGAGTCCACTCCTGGAATAAATACTGGCAATCACTCACAGGAAAGAAAAGCTGAACAATTTCTCTAAATGTCACACCTGAGTAGTGGAAAGATCACTGATGGGACCCTTTCAGACACTGATGGTAATATGAATGTGTTTTAAAAGCAAAATGAAAAAAAACCCACATACATATATTGTGTGGAGGCTTTCTCCCACATCTGCGTCTTTCCTCCACTTTTAGTTGATAGGCGATTTTAAATTTTTCTTTCAGAGGACATTAAGAACAGTTCTCCTCTTAAACCTGTGTTGAGTAAAATCTCATCCTTCCATAGGAAAACAGTTATGAAGGACATGAAAGAAAAGTGTGAGAGAAAGCTCTTATGGTCATTTCACTTCTTTTAACACACTTCCAAATGGATGCCACAAATCCCAAGTGTCTTTCACATAATTTAAGAAAGAAGGTAACAGGTGTTTGGACACAGGCTTCAACAGGCTTTATGGCTCCACTGCTTAGTTTGAAATCTTAGGTATGCACTGTCCTGAAATTTCCTCTTCTGTTGCGTAATTAAATTCTAGCATGAGCCAGAAAACGTTGTCTGGTCCTTATGTGCAAGAGCTACCAATACTTTAGGGCTGAGAATTTTATGAAGTTCACATACCAAAAATAATAGTTGCAACTGAAAGCAAAAGGTGACTTTACAAAGTGTTTTTTAGGCATGAATTAGGAATGAAGCTGGCTGAAACCAGTGTGGTTTACTCAGCCAGGTTTAGAATCTTGATGCTAACAACTGACATGAATGGATGCCAAACAATACAGTATGGTGCAGAAAGGATGATAAAGGCTGACTGAAGTAAAAAAAAAAAAAAAAAAAAAAAAAAAAAAAAAAAAAAAAAAAAAAAAAAAAGAAAATGTAACTTCAATGGGATCAGGTACCATAAGACAAGTAGGGATGAAGCATCATCATGACCACACTTGGTTGTTTTTTTTTTTAAATCATCAAAAGAAGGCTTACAGCAATTAAGTACAATGGCTAACAGAAATTGAGTAGTAAAATCTAAAAGTTTACCTTTTATCTCTTCATACATGGAAAACTTTATTTTTATTTTCCTTAATCGTTCTAACAAATTTACTTAAGAACACAGCTGAAAAAACATGCTAGCTTATCACATGGTATATTTGAAAAAGAAACAGAAAAATTACTTTGCAAGTAGAGTTACTTGTGTGTAATTTTTTTCTGTCATAAGTAAATGCTTTATGCATTCTGCATATACTGTTTCCATGCTCTACAGATCAAATGCAAAATTACATTTGAATTTTCTTTATACAGACAGTCAGGTAACACACAGTTTCCAGACCCAAAAAGCAACTTGAATGCAGTGAAAGCAAATTTGATGCGTCAGTCTTCTTCCTTTAAAAGTAACAGAACATTTATGGCTCTTTCTGTTTACACAAACTACAAATGAGGTTGCTCTATAAAAACCTGGCAGTGTTCCTTTCAAAACATTTAGAGAGCAAAACTGCAAGCTAGAAAGTTAGTTGTGGTGTAATATAAACTGCTGGTGTCAAAGACCTGTTGCAGTTGCATGCATGAGTGGGAGTAGTAAAATGGAGCAACTTATAAACACTTTTAACAGCGCTCCAGGGTAAAGCTGTTATGGTCCTATTATGTTTTGGAACTGATGGAATATAATTTGACTACATAAAATCAACCCACACCTATCAATCAGTAGCCTCGATCAAACACCTCATGAGTATTTGTATCTTCACTGAAATACATTTACAGTTGCTAGAAGATGGGCATTCAAGTTAAAAAAGTGATACAAGCGACAACGCTACATGAATGAACCCTGATCTATGAAAGTAAACGAACTCCAAAGGTCTGCCACTTAAGCTCTGCACTTTAAGAAGGAATGATACTGGTTGTAGCACATTACAGCCCTGCTACTTATTCCACAAATCCATCAGTGCTCAGGAATATGAACTAACAGGATTTTTATATCACAAGATAGGCCAAGAATCACACTGCAGAGGAAACATTAATGAATACCTACCATACGTACAAATCATTTTACTAGCTTCTCTGAAGAGAAGAATTCCATTTGGAGATGATACATCAAAATTTAAACGTTGCGATCTAAAAAATAACAGCAAAAATATTCAGATGGTCATCGAAGCAGAAAACTGCAATGGATTCATTCCTAAAACAAAAAAAAATTTGCTGATTACAAAGTACAATTATTTGACAAACTAATTCTAGCTTTCAGTCCAATGACATGCACTCTAGTTATCTCCAAATGTTGCCAAAGAAACAATCCTATGACAAAAGACAAAACAATTTTAACCAGAAAAGGTGACCAGACAATACGTACACAGCTTTCAGTGACTGGTGAACATCTTGTGCCCATATACAGTTCAGAAGAATGCTACCAAGGTTCCATAATCCAAGCAGTTAGGCTTTTACCCTGCTTCTGCATCTATATAGCTTTTAAAAATAAACTAATCCCCACTAGTTATTCTGCTACATAAAATCTGAGGCAATCACAAGCCACTTCTCCGAGTGTAAATTGTAACAACATGCTTTTTAGGAACATTCGGACCTGAAGAAGATTGCACCATGTTGTCTATCCTGATGCACAGGTATTACCAAAGCCAATAAGAACCACTTTGTTCCCAATCTGAAAACGCAACAGAGTCCTTGCCAAAGTCCCTGTGGCATCTTTCCAATTAGTCTTTGTGATTAAGAAGCCTAACTCCTAGTTCACGCCTAAAAGTTAACTTTGCATATAGGTCTTAAGCTTCTAAGTAATTTTAGCAAAACTTACCCTTAGTGTTTATTTGGACTGAAAGCGAGTCATCACTGAGTGATGTAAACCAGAGTATCCCCTGGCTGACCTATTTGGTAGTCATCCACTTTTGATCAAACAAGTGGAGTCCTTGTATCACCCCTATCACAGAGAAAGCAGTAGGTACCTTTCTTTGCTGCAAGTCTACTTGTTTGTTGTCTGAGTCCCTATTTGCACGGGCCTTTGCTGCAAACTCTGGAGTAAATCTGGGTGCTTATAAATGAATAAAATGTGCCTTGTATAAACAATTTGTATATTCCATATGCACAAAATGATAATGGCTGGCAGAGGCAAAAAACCCAAAACCAGCACATCGTCTCAATATCAGAGTGGCATAATGCACAATCTGATACTCTGTAACATATTTTAACCATGTCAAAGTATATTGTATAATGCATTCTAACCTGTAAAAGCTAATGCAGTACACAACTCATGAAAAAACACCATCCCAGATGATGTTTTCTAAAGGGAACAAGGCAGATTTTCTGAATAGCAATAGGTAGAAGAATAACATGAATATGGAAAGTAGCTTGAAGAGCTGTCTTTTGCATAAGATTTATTGTTCCAGTTCCTCTTTGCTTTTGTTTACTGTTATTAGAGTTCTGTGTTTATGCTTTAACAATCTCCTTGAAATAAGTTCCAGTACTATCAGAGTATACTGCTTGTGCATTGCATCATGAATAAAAATAGGTTAAACTTTCCCAGCAATTTATTTTACTACTACCAGGATAAAAGACATAATTAGCCTACACAAACCAAAGAGGGAGTCACAGCAATGAAGTCAACACAAACAAGCAACAGGGAACTGTGCCTTAAGGTTTGTGTAGCCATTCAGGGATTAAGTGTACATCATACACACCAGCGTTTGACTGGGAGCCAGGTCTGAGCTTTAAAGCACCAATTTCCTGTCACTAGATTAAACTAAGTATTTTTTTCAAATTTCAAATATTTCAACTTTTTTCCTTGTAACTTTGATTTGCAAGGCAAAATTTGAAATGATGAGAACACATACTTCTTTGCTGATAAATGTAATTAATTTGGTCATGAAGATACCCAGCACAGAGCCTTTAACTATCAATTTTTAATTTAAAAATCTTTGTTTACTTTGGGCAGTACACCGAATATTTCCAAGTGTAATGATAATTTCCCAAAATAAATTATTCTGTTACTTGTGGTAAAACAGGAATTGCATTCTAACTACTGCAATGTCAAAGTATTGAAATAACCTCCCAGAATCATTCTGAGGCCTCAGAATGTGGTTAGCCCACAGAGAAGATTTTAGATGTGGGAGAAGTTGCCTACATGCCGATTATAAATATTGCTGTATTAGATACCATTCTTTCCTATTTTGGCTGGACGAGTTGAGCTGCAAAAGGAACTGTAAAGGGAGTTGTGGTTTTACAGGCACATATGTATGCTGCTTGGCTTAAGGCAAAAATTCAGCCTGCAGCAAATCTTAACAGCAGACAATTTTCTGATATTTAATTGAGTCAGTATTTATCCCTGGATAAAGCATACACTTCCACTAACATTGAATATAAAAATCACAGTAGTCTCTCATATATATTCCTCTAATTAATCCTTACCAGCTGATTTTGTAACAGCTACCATTTTGGTAAAACATTACAATGACACTGAAAACTGAGTTCTGCTTCCGAATTTTGTTCCAAAATACAAAACTAGCAGTCTTAAAGTCAAAGTCAGACATCATGAGGATAAGCAAAGCATAGAAAGATGGAACAGAGAGTGCATACCATTGCAGCATTCAGCATCTATCTAATTTTCATGTGCTTCTTACCTGTTTTGCATGAATTCTGCCATCAGCTTCAAGATAGGGGTTGTACATGCAGGTTCACGGTACCACAGTTCAATAGCTCTTTGCAGAACAGAAATGTATGCAGGGTAGCTTCACCAAACTGAGTTAAAGAGTATACTGATAAAATAGCACATTGCAGAACAACTTCCTCTAAAACTGTACCACACCATCAGATGGGTGGGCCAGATATAGACCTTGGCAGCTCATTCTGACAGAGGGACTGCCAGAACCTATAAATTTAAGCAAGTCTCCGCTTAGAAGGCTAAAGGCTTTGGAAACATTAATGGTTAAGTGGGAAACAGTTAACATACCCGAGCCGTAATGAAGAAAAAGGAAAGCAGGTTGTATATGTGAAGCTAACCTACAAGTACACATATAAAACGAGCTTGGATTTTTAATGAACAGCGTAAGTCACAAATGGCAATTTAACTTAAAAACACCACAAATTTACATATTAGCAAATCCTGGGCACCAAATTTCAGTGCCACCTCATATATACATGGTTGGGAACAACTTGATTCTATGAAGTTTTTTCCAGAGCATTAAAGAAGATAATTCAGCCAAACTGTGTGTGGGAGACCAGCAAAGTTAGATTTCTCTTTCAGGAGATATGTTTGCTCATCAGCACCCAAGAGATATTCGTTCTTTTAAAGCAGGATTTAAAAGAATGCAATACAGACAAACATAAGTTTAGCAGACTCTGCAATGTAACTTCAAAAAAATCTTATGAGTTACTGACTGTATCAAAATATTTAATGCAGCAATTTGATACAAAGCTGACCCCTAGTTTTCCCAACATGCTGAAAAAAAGAGTTTATTTGGATAAGAATGCAGACTGGTAAATGGAAATGAGGTAGCAAAGAATTAAACAGGTTTTTCATATTGAACCAAAAGATTTTAACTATACAATTTGCTATTAAAATATGATCTAGCTAACCTAGTTAATGGTTTTGTTTAATAATAAACTTATTTTTCATTTTTAACTTTGTTTCATGTCATATGATTCTGCTTTATTTAACAACATGAGAAATAGTGACTATTCTTATGAAAATGCTATTGCCTATTCAGACAATAAAGGTAACTACTGTGAATCTTACAAAGTAGAATACGGGCCAAGCACTCAACATGGGATTGTGGAATAAAAGTCTGAAACATAAAGGTTTACATGCTTCTAGGATATGTAGACAGTCATGTCTCAGTTCGCTATAGCTCTTCTGGTGGAGGCTAAAGCCGTCAGACATAGCATTACTGATGAATGACAGCGCTGTGTAGACAGATGGAAGGCATTCTGGCTACTGCTGTCTGTCTGAGGCATCTAAAGACTGGTGCATTTCTGCTGCCAGCTGCTTGAGGCACTGCAGGCATAAACTATATATAGCAGAAGAGGCTGACATGAAATATACTCTAGACCTTATTTCTCTCTCCTTCATGGGGTTCTTTACATTTTAAATCAGACAAACTAGACTTTAACATACCATGGAGAGTTATCCAGTAATAAACTGGGATTTAAATTCAAATCCTACTTGCCTACAATATCCTCAAAGGGCGTAGATGATCCATGCAATCTCATACCTTTAAAAATTCACTAATGCCAGTTCCATTTTTTCTGAGGTAGACTTCCAATCCAGCTCACTCTCAGCAGAGGATGCTCAATATACTCAAAATGCAGCAGATGACATGTAAGGTACAGAACTGAACTGTGCAATTAATTCTCCTAAGCCATGCCTCTTCCTTGGCCTTCCTAGTAGCCTCATGTACACAGAAGGGAGATGGTGCAATGCTGCAAAGCGCCATTGTGGAATTTTGCAGGGTAGAAAGCAATTGCCTTTTCAGATTTCATGGCAAAGGCAGTAACTTGACATCCAAACCCTACAACCAAAATCTAAGTCAGCAGTATATCCCATATGATTAGCTATCTTAATTAAAAAACTTAAACACTGAATCCACATTCATTGACAAGGAAAGATGGGAGACACTATAGTCAAATGTTATAAAAGCCAGGGTCAACAGAAAGGCTTCGTCAATTTTTTTTTGTTTTTTAATAACTTCAATAAAGTGGAATAAATTGGTTTTAAACAGAATATTATTTGTAAGTGTTTTTAACCACAAGCTTCAAGGAATCTGACTAATTAATGAACTTAACCTGACCAGTCAGTTCAAGCTCAAAGGAATTCAAACTGCAAAAAAATGATACTGAGCGTTTGAATCAATGCAACCGGCAATAACAGCTATTACAAACTGATTACCAATCAGGTAGCCTTGTTTCACAAGAAAATGTGTTCTCCTCTTCTCTCGTGATTAGGAAAATTCAATCCCCTACAGCTGTTTGTTGGTCTCTTTCAAGTTTGTACCTAATCTTGAGTCCTAAAAACATACAAACTTAAAAATTTAGTTCTACAAAAAAGTATCATTTTGAACAAACCATCTTATTGCTGCACATGGTTTATTTTGTTAAGAAATACGATACGAATTTGGATAAATATGTAACACAGTGATCCACATCTGAAGCAGCATACGATCAGACATCCGAATATCTAGGTCAACTGGAACTTTTAAATGACCACTAGATAAAACATCTCAATGGCAGATCACTTTTCTATAATGTTAGTGTCTATGCATCTATACACAGATACAGATATTTTTATATAGGCAGACAATTTCATGTGCTCACGCATATACATCGTGTGCTATCTAGCTGACTGCAACTCTGAGTCAACCTAATAATTTAATTCTTGCAACCCATTTTCTTATTGCAACCTTTTTCTTTTACAGACAACAGAAGTCATTAAATACTGAGAATCAACTGGGAGGAACACAGGAAAAACCGCCTATGGGTTACCACCTAACTGTGAGAAACACTATATGAAAGTAACAAAAAAGTGGATATTACCCTGAACTCACAATTGAATCTACATGGACGTATCTGACTGTGAGACCAAGGACCTTAGACTAGGTCTGATATTAGTATGGAAGAAAACCGATTAAACATTCAACATCTTATCCAGGCAGTCTTGAAATAAATAGCAGAATGAAATACATAAGGAAAATCATCACTGTTAAGAAAAACAGGTTTTGATTCTACTCAAATTGGTATACAGGTTTTTTCAGGCCACACCTGCATGTTCAGGACTGACCTACAAATTAGAGAGACCACATGTTCTGAATACAAAAGGCAAACAAACTTTCCAAAGCTGTGGTACTGGAATAGTCATTGACAGCTTGACATATCAATATTTCAGGAAGAATAAATTACTTTCATATCCAGTGTTTGGGGTTTTATATTTTGTTTTGTTTGTTTGTGTGATGTTTTTCTTCATCTTTCATTACCGGATACTTTGGGAAGATGCTATACTTAACACCTGAAGCTGCTTAAAATATTTGGAAATATTTTAATGAAGTCTTTTGAGAGATTACCTAATACAACTTTAAAACAAATTCTGCTATTATTATAAGTATTTTCTTTTCATCCCTTGCCAGAGGAAAACTATAAATCTTGTCTCAGCTGAATGAACACCATTTATCATATTCATTTTCTTGTCAATACAATTATGAAAAGCCTTTGGCCTTTTTCCAAGTAGCCTGATTTGCTAGAGAAACTCAATTAGTATAAGCAAGCCTGCTACAAAACAGCCCTATTTGGCAATCTAGTGCAGCTTCAGCATACCTGACGATTCACCTCTAAACCATGATCCTAATAACTCAATCATAATGGTAAAATACAAGATACAACGGCGTCCCCCTCCTGCCTCCCCCCTTCTCCGCTCCCCGGACCAAAAGGACTTAAAAGAAATTATTTCTGCTCATTTTTGCCATCTACTGGACAAAACTTAAATCCTAAACATTGCGATCAGAAAGAAGAGAAGAATTCTCTTAGGTGAGAGATTACCAAGTGTAATTTGTGTTGTTATGGACACGGCTTAGACCCAAAATATTTCCTAGATTTCATCAGTTGAAAAGTTGATCAATACATTCTTTGACCAATGATTTACAAGTGACTGTTTCTGACAGTCTTCAATACAGAATAAACATCATCTCATGGTATATTAAAAGCTTAGCCTTTTATCCCTTGCCTCTTTGTATTGTTTATTTATTGAACAAATGCAAGTAAATGCAAGTAAATCAGATTTATTTTGGCTAATATTCTGTATTTGCCATTTTCAATACTGAAATACTACGGCTTCAAACATAACAGAATAAAATATGTTTGAAAAACAGCTTTTCTTTGCTATTAAAACCATTTTCTGATGATGTATTTGAAGCTACAAAGAATATGTTAATCAAAGGATATTTAAACTTTATACGATAAAATTGGCATCTGACCCTCCCTTATCCTCCCATTTACCTTTCTGTCTTTATATACAGTAAATAAGAGTTGTGATAATAGCAGCTTATTCTGCTATAATGCTTTGGATCAATACCTGGATGAAGCTGGACTCAGCCAAATGAGGTGAAATCCACTGAACAAAAGCATGCACTTATCCTTTACAGCCAAAGGTGACGAGGAAAAAAAATTCTGAACCTGTGCAAGGGAAAAGAAACTGAGAAGGCCTCAGCTTTGAATTCTACACAAAGCTACATTTCAATCTATTTTTATTGTTAATACAGAATAATGAAATCCAAAAGTTGAAGGCTGTTTCTATTTATTTGAAAAGAACTTAATTCATAAACTGTAAGGAATAAACTAATGAAAATAAAAAAAAACCCATCAAGACAGGGTCCTGAGGATTACATATCCTGGATCCCTGCATAAAAAAACACCTCCATGGATGAATCCATTTCTTTCAAATGGAGAGGAGGTAAGTCTCTGTTATCCCTCCTCCTACAACTGGAGATTTTGCAGTTCTGCACAGAAGAGCATGATACTCATGCTGTACTAGGAAAAATAAAGTAAAAAGAATTTGAAATGGAAGCAGCACTGATCTGCTTTTACACATCTTCCTGATTTTATTATTAAGTTTTAGGGTAACACAAGCCCAAACAGTACTAATGAAGTTAGATGTACCCAATGGTGCCCACTAGAAAATGAGATGCTAATTCACAGTCTGGCTTCAGTAGTTTGGTGGTGGTTTGGTTTTTTTTTTCCCTCCAGTCCTCTAAAACTGAAATTAAGGGATGCTTTCCACTGATTTTAAAATAAATAAAGATTACACTGCTAAATGTTTTGATCTTACTTTCTGCAAGCTGAGCCTGCACATAGACAGAATCACTGCAGGCCTGCAAAGGTCTCAAATAGGGCTTATCTGAATGGTCATCAGGATCCTACTACCCACCACACAAGGACGTCTATCAGATCATACCAGCTTCTGCTGCACCGCCTTTCAGTCCTTACAGGCTAATTTCCTAGTTGCAATTCTATATTGATGCATACCTCTTTCTTAACCAGGAAGATCATTACTGAGCAGTAGGGTTTAATTATTTACTTAAAATAAAAATGGTTTTAAAAGCTTGATTTCTAGTAAAGCATGTAATTGCACTTGAATGTTATTTTTCTGTCCATAAAATAAACAAATACATAATTAACTTCCACAGCTTTGTGAGATCTAAATTATAAAACAAATATTTTCATAGTTACCTCACTATATATTTCAGCAGTTTGTTACTAATATGACTGTGTGCCTGAAGAGAGAATTACAGCTACTGTATTTATAAAAATACAAAATACTTCTCTGTAGTATTAAGAAAATACCCATGAGTATTATTGTATTTGTTAGCATAAAAATGTATACAATATTTAAAACAAATAGAGCTCCATTATCATTACTTATTGAAGAAAACTACAATCTAAAGATTTTGATTTCATTTTCAGATGTCCATTTTCGTCTGGATCAAGACGACTGCAGGTGTTGCGATATTAATAGAGTTGACATAAATAGAAAGTAACTGACTAAATTAAAGACATGATTCATACCAGAGAGAGAAATCTCCCCAGATAGCACTTGTATAGTATTTTTTAAGCACTTTTGATGTTAAACCAAATGTAGGTACATTGTGTTTGGAGTTAAAGACACAGCTTTTTTTTTTATGAAAACATTGCGGATTTATGAAGGGAAGAAAACACTTGGATATGTTTTCCAGATTAGTAGTGTGACACAACAAAAAAGTGACCTCTCTGTGGTCCTTCCCAGTTAACTGCATGGTTGCCATTGTACTGTAATTTTAGCTGATTACACATTAGTTCATTTAGCTTTGTTTCCTCTTCCCCACTGTGCCATACTATTAAACTAATGCAAGGGGCCTGGTATCCCTCTGTGCACAGAGCTGGTATTGTCATAGTGTAATAAGGATACATCCAGTCAAACAGCATGGTGTAGCTGGTCTTTGTGTTTAGTGCAAAGGCAATCCCTCGAAGATCCCTTGCCAGCCCGATCAACATACGCTGTCAGTGGGAAAGAGACACAGTAATTGATTTTCACGTTAGCACAGAGCAGATGGAGTAATAATCAGCCAATAATGACCACATATCTGATTTTGATTCATTAGTTTAAATGTCTCGCTCAAATATTTTTTTATAAAAACCACACATATTCTTTTAACAAACAAGATTTCCACAAGTTTTGCAGTGATAACACTAGCAAAATGTTTAGGAAATGCTTTTGATTATTCGATATGCTGTCCTAATGAATAATGCAAATTAAAACATAATATATGAATACTGCGTATTAAGGTTTAGAAGTGCTTCCTGTATTAATATATTTAAAGTAACAATAACAATAAAACGCTAATTTAAGCTTGTAATATTTTGAATGAAGTGTAAGACTGATACTCATAACAAGCTACAATTAAGGTTGCCCTGAGATTCTCATTGTACTGTTATTTTAACGTATCTTTTGGGTTTTATTTTTTTAAAAAGTAATTTTCCAAGTTAGGTTTCTTCAAAAAGTGACTTTTTTGTTTACAGAAGACCATGCAAATATCTATCTGTATTAACATTAGTTCTGAGGTGAATTTTTTTTTTCCCTTTAATGACTGAAGTGTGGCTTCAGAATCCTTCCAGCACAAATGCAGACAACATTTTATGCATAGATAATTAGCCCCTACTAAAGGGATGTTTTCAGGATAATTAATAGACATCAATAAGAAACACTAGTGAATGAAAAATATTTAACAATATAAGCAAACTTTTCAATTTACTTAGACATAAATATTTTTGATAATTAAGTAGTTTTAATAAATTTCACCCATGTGTTGCAGGTGGGGTTTGTACTCCCTGCTGCCCAACCCCCCCATAAAAGACCACAGTACTGTAGAGTCTGGTAAAAAAAAAGAAAAAAAAAATCATAGAAGCATGGCAAAAAACCCAGTAAGAAGTTCTCTCTTTAAAACCAGAGTTTTCAATAATGTACCACTTGGTGCTAACACTGTAGTATTTATAGTGTTGAGAAATACAAAAGGTAAGATTCACATATTAATTTTAATTGATCACATAAAGAGCAAATTATGTCTGATGCCTTGTTAAACTGCTAAATGTAATCTTACACAAGGGCTAATTTCTACTTTTCATATACAGACCCATTAGTCCAACTGACTTGGATGGCACGCACACAGATTTATCCAAGGATAAATTGAGTTCTCTACGAAACACTGGTGAGGTTGCTGGGATTATTTTAGTATTTGCATTTCCTTTCTGTTGTGCATTGAAATGGCCTGAACTTGCAAGATGCCGAGAGGTCTCAACTCTCATTAACTTTAATGGAACTCTGAAATCACTAGAGAGGAAGTGTTCAATACTGAGAAGATGCAATATAAAATTGTAACTTTATCTTTATATTCATTGGTATTTTCATACTTTGTGTGCTGTTTTTGTCCGCACAGAAAATAACTGTTTAGCAGACACAGTGGCTGAAATGTAAAGAATTAAAAGAAATTGGCAGTAACATTTTATACTTCTTTCTGAAGGGACACAGAGATGCAACAATATATACACGGAAGTGGAAATCTTCCAGATTGATTTTGGTTCCTTTGCCCATTCTAGCCACAAAAAAAGGAGGCAAGCAAGACTGCACAAAGGAAACGCTGGAGCAAGGAAGAAGGGAAGCTACAGCCACTGGCAAGACACGAACCCGTCTGCTTTGTTTGAGGATGCACTTGGAGAGAAAGAGCTCACCATCTTACTGTGGTCTCTCGAACATGGATTAGAAAAAGACAACCAGCCAAACCCATATTCCTCTAGCATGCTTATTCTGTCTTTATAAAAACACAGTGTAAGAAAACACTCTTTTGCAAATATATTTAAGAAACAGTTTGGTTGTGAGACTTTAAAAACTATTAATAAAAGTAGATGAGCAACTTTAAAGTTTTTAAACTATGGTCCCAGATTTCTGGGAACCTACACAAACACCAGGCAATTTCAGACACCATTTGACCTTCTAAAGAAAGGAGAACAAAGTGCTACATAAACTACATTTCTTGGTTTTCTGTTCTTTAAATTCAGGTATTGTTATTAAAAAGCCCATATCATCAACCACACTATTCTTAATAAATGACCTCAATGTACAAGGCACCATAATATTCTTGTCCTGTAAAACCCCAAACTCAGTGGTTTAGGTATATCCATTGGAACTCAACTTTATAAAATAACACTGCCTACAGCTGACAACATCTGAACAGCCTACAGAATCCTGAGATATACCTTTAAACTCTAATAGGAGCAAAAATCACTCTAGATTCCATGGTTGCTTAAGTCATATTTTGTAAGAACTCCCTCCCCCCCAAACCCCTAAAATCCCGAGATTTTAGTTTTAGTTCATTATGAGTTTTCAAATAGCACTTATATGCATAAAATTTATTAATGACAAACAACATTATACACTTTTACATCTACTTTTTGTCCGTCATCCTATGGGATTCAAAGTACCTTGCAAACTAACAGAGTATTTTGAAGAATACATGAAGCTACTGTTTCATTTACAACTGAACACCAGCCATTTCGGGGGCAAAGGGACAGTTAATAACACCACCAGCAACAGCAAAATGAGTAAGATGAAAAGTAAAGAACAGTAAATACAAGAAACACAGCAAGAGGAGCTTGTCAGTAGTATGTGGGTTTATACATTGCTTTTCTTGCTTATGAAACAATTTTGTTCAAATTTCAGTTTCAAAATATTTGTCCCTGAATGTCAGTGATAGGCTTACTTAAGATTAATTAAAGCAAAGCAATTTTTAAAATTAATTCAGGTATTTTGTTTCAAAGTGCCAAAGAAGATTTTTCAACGGAAAGGAGCTGAAGATTTAAGTATTCACAGAAAAAACCCTATGACTTGCCAACATGTGCCAAGTGTCTGACTAAGACAATTTAAAACAGACGAGACTACTCACGCCACCCACCCCCAAAACGGGGTTTGTAATGGAAAGTCTGACAGACCCTTAACTATAGTGGCACTACTGGGTGCAGCTATAATATTACCATCATAATTCTACTATATAATAACAACAAAGGAAAAAAAAGGTGAAGGGTCATTGCGCTTTGTCTTTAGAATTAAGATGGCTGTCTTCATCCTTACAGCATACTCTTAATTCTGGAGACACGTCTTAATAACCTCTAAATAGTTCCAACAAAAGAGCCGTGTCAGAGGAATGAGCAGGCCCCAAGGTGTTTCAACTGGAGTGTTTTCATCTGCCTTTATTGCTCTATCCCTCTCCAGAATTAAGGCAATAACCTGTGATAAATTATTCAGGAACTGCTACAGGGATCAAAGCAAAATCATTCTGTTAAAGTGCTGTTTGCAACATTTGGCACTTAGTGTGAAAACTTTTAATGTGTGCAAGCTGAAAATCAAGGATTTTAAATAATTTAACAGCATGGAGTTTCTACAAACCAGCTAAAGATAGCATGTTGCTATTTAACTGCTTTTCCCTCAGATCCTTTTTTTCATGCGTTTCTAGCAAATCTGATGATGTCACAACTATAAACAAAGTACTACTGAGATTCCGGCTACCCAGCTGACATATTACTTAACCGGGTTGTCAAGAGAAACCTTGAAATTCTTAGGAGAAAATTAGCCACTGTTTTAATACTGGGTATTTTTCCTATTAATATAAAAATGTGAAGAAGGAAGTGGGGGGGGGGGGGGGGGAG